TCCTAAACAAAGGAGCGCCCTCTCTCTCTCTCTCTCTCTCTCTCTCTCTCGTGCTCGGCTTCCTTGCATTCACCCGTGTTTCCTCCACAGTCATGTGGGCCTGTGGACCCCTCGTGCAATGGACCGATAGATGGCAGGGGGAGCACTAATTAAGCGAGCCTGGTGCGGATTGGACCGTGCAGACACGGAAAGGAAATGCGGGACCCTGGCTCTGATCTTAGCCCCGATGGAGGCTAAATGGGACTTCTTCCTCGGCCAGACGGAGGGAAAAGAAACCTTGGAAACCCAGGGGTTCGATTCCACAGAAATAAAAATCACTCCTCTCCTAAGCAAGTCTCGGAAAATTCTTTTTCTGGGGATATCGCAAGAATCCCACTGCCAGGAGCAGCAGGTGGGGACGTGGGCCTCTCCCCTCGTTCACACTGACCTTTGGGGCTGGGTAATTCTGTGTTGTTAGGAGCTGTCCCGTGCTCTGTGGGATGGAGAGCAGTATCTCAGGCCTCCAACCACAATTTAAAAAAAAAAATCAATTGGCCCTGGCCAGTGTGGCTCAGTGGACAGAGCGTTGGCCCATGGACTGAAGGGTCTCGAGTTCGATTCTGGTCAAGGGCCCGTACCTTGGTTGCAGGTTCCTGGGCCCTTGTTGGGGTGCATGCAGGAGGCAACCAATCGATGTGTCTCTCTCACATCGATGTTTCTCTTTGTCTCTCCCTCTCTCTTCCACTCTTCCTAAAAATCAATAGAAAAATATCCTCTAGTGAGGATTAGCAACAACAAAAAATAAAAACAAAAAATAAATCAATTGACCATATTTAGCTGACTCTATTTCTGGGCCCTTTTCTCCGTTCCACTGATGTGTACCTTCTACTGCTGGGATAACGTGGCTCTATAGTAGATTAAATAAAGTCCTCTGAGTTCATCTACTTTGCTGTTCTTTTTCTAACCATTTTGGCTAGACTTGCGTATATACGTTGGAACAATCTTGTCTATATGTATAAAAATTCCTGCTAGGGTTTTGATTAGGGTGGTATTGAATCCAGACACCAACGGGGGAAGCATTCACATCTTAACATCAAATCTTCCAGCTTATGACCACGGTATTTCTCTGCATTTATTTAGCTATTCTTAGATTTATTTCATCAATATTTTATTATTTTTAGGATACAGATCACATACATATTTTGTTAGGTTTATACTTACTGTTTTATATGTTGGTGCTCTTGTAATTAGGACTTTTTATGAATTCCAATTGTTTATTGCTTGCGTATAGAAATACCATTCATTTTTTAATATATTTTAAGTCTGATGTTAGCTCTGGGCTGTTTGTTTGTTGTTTTTGTAGATGTTCTTCATCAGATTTGGGGAGCGCCCTTCCAGGTATAGTTTGCTAAGAGTTTTTACCAGGAATGTGTGTTTAGTTCTCTTAAATGCGTTTTCTGCATCTATCGATGTGACCATGCGTGGCTCCCTCTGACTTCTGCTAGTGTGGTGGGTGAATCACAGCAATTGATTTTTAATGTGGAGGCAGCCTGCATCCTTTTTATTTATTTTAAAAATATTGGATTCTCTTTGCCAATATCTGTGTCTACTTTTCGTCTGTGTGTCATCGGGACAGTGATCTGCCGTTTCCTGTCATATCTTGGACTTCGGGGCGGGTGATGCCGGCATCATCAGCGCGATCTGGGAAGTGTTCCGTAAAATGAGGTGGAAAGTGCCTTCTTCTTCTTTCCGGGAGAGACTGTGTAGAATCGGTATGACCCTTCCTTACATTTCTGGTGGAATTTGCCAGTGAAACCACTTGGAGATTCCTTTTTTCAGGATATTTTTGCCTCAGTCCTGCCCACCATGGTCCCAGGGACAGTTCCGACTAGCAGCCTGGACACTGGCTCGGGTGTGTGGGTGCGTCTGGGCCTGGGCAGGTGTGTCTTAGCTCCGTTCTCGGAGCCTTTATTACGCCCGTCTTTGGGGGCTCCCCTGCACACGTGGCTTGGAGCGAGCCCAGACCCTGTGCAGGTTCATACACCCAGCAGGGTCCCCTTTGCCAGCTTCCCTGCCCCACCCCCTTCCCGGGCACTGCTCCCAGGGGCCTTCTGTCCCGGGGCTCCGGCTAGAAAGTCCGTGTTTCTGTCAACTCCATTCTCCCTCACTGCCTGCCTCAGGGCTCTGTCCTGCCACATGCCCACGGGGCAAACAGAGAAAAGAGAAAAGGCAGGGGAACTCCCCCACTCTTCCAGCGATGGGGCCCTTTCCTCCGTTTCTCTTGCATTTTAGGGTCCCAGGACCCGCCACCATCGCTGCCACAGAAGCGCAGCCCCGCGGCTGAGGCTAACCTTGGGGAGGGGCTGGAGAGAGAAAAGAGAAAAAGGAAAGAAATTGGAGATTCCCCCGAAACTCTCCACCCCAGGAGCCCGTCCTCTCAGTCCTCTGTGGAGAAAGAGGGGGTCCTCTAGGGCTTTGGCTGTGGGAGCTGGGGGATAAGGAGGGAGGCCCAGGATGCCCGCTGGCCCATCTCTCGTCAGGGTTTCTGCTCCCTCCAGCCCACTCCGCTGGCTGCCCACGCGAGGCTCAGCCCCAGTGCCTTGTGCAGGGGTCCTAGCTGCTCTCTCCTATGCTCCATCCGCCCCTGGCAGGCGCCAAAGGCCTTTTCAGTGCGTTTTCACTTCTTCCTGAGGATCCCCTGGGTCTGGGCTGAAATCCTCACTGTTTAGACAGGAAGCAGACCCAGCAGTGGCCCATCCAGCAGGCACAGCAGGGCCTGGAGCCAGGACTGCCTGTTCTCCTGTGGGGGGGCATCTGCCCCTCCCCGCCCTGTGGTCCCTCCCTCCTGGGTCCAGAGCCCAGAGGCCTCACCAGCGGGCTGCAGGGTGGTCCACGCCCCCTCCTCACTCCAGGAGCCTGTGCTGACCAGTGAGGCAGGAATGGAAGCCGGTGCCTGCCTCTCCCCTGAGGCTCCGCCCTCACCTGCAGACCGGGTCAGGGGATCGCCCTGGATTGCCCTTTATCTTCTGGGGAACTTCCACTTCTTTCCTCTTGTTCCCAACGGAATTCATTTAAAATTAACCAGATCCAGCCTGGCCGGTGTGGCTCAGTGGTTGAGCGGCAACCTATGAACCTGGAGGTCACAGTTCAATCCCCGGTCAGGGCACGTGCCCAGGTTGTGGGTTCAATTCCCAGTGTGGTGTGTGCAGGAGGCAGCTGGTCAATGATTCTCTCATCGTTGATGTTTCTCTCTCTCTCTCCCCCTCTCCCTTCTTCTCTGAAATCAACAAAAATAAATTTTTAAAAATAAAAATTGAATTAAATTAACAAGGTCCAAAAGTGGGAAATGGAGAAAATCAAAAGAGCTCCACAAGGGGGAGGCCCCGAGTGGCCAGCAGGTCGGGAGGCCCCGAGTGGACAGCAGGTCGGGAGGCCCCGAGTGGGCAGCAGGCCGGGCTCTGTGCCTGGGCGCCTGGTCACCTGCCAGGACAGCGAGGCTGGTACTTAGAGCTGCGGCTCAGCCCTGGGCATTACCCTCGGCCCAGTTTTCAGACTCGGGAGCACGTTTCGTCCCTGCAGCACCTCCGGGGTGGTCCCCACTATCACCCTCTTTATAGACAGGGAAATCGGGGCCCAGAGAGGGTCAGTCCCTTGGCCATGTCACACAGCCCGAACGGACAGCACAGGGCCCAGCCTCCTGCCTGGCTCTTCAAGCCCAAGGAATTATCCCCTACTCACACTGCTGTGTGCGTGAGCCCCCTTCCTCCTCCTTATCTCTTCAAGTGCACGGGGTGCCATTTTATGACGTGTTTAAGTCTGCATTCCTTTTCAAGGTGGAGGCCTTCAAGGTCAGAGGTCAGGGGTTGCCCTTGGCATCCCTAGTGTCTGTGGGATGAGTACTGAGTGGGCGGATGGCACTCGGGTCTCTCCGCCTGTAGGTGTGGGTCATGGAGACCTCGCGAGAATTTAGCGATACAGGAATTACCTGGCCACGTCTGTGGGCTGGCTCGAGGCAGCCCTGGTGGTTCCTGATGAATGAGGTCACCCAGAGAGCCCGGGCCCCGGCTGGTGTGGTCTGACCAGACAAACTGAGGGCGTAGTCCCTGCAACAGATTCTGAAGTTGCAGCTGGTTCTCAGGTCAGCCACCTAGGGCTGCCGCCTTTCGTTGCAAATAACAACACAGGACACCCAGTTACACCTGAGTGGCAGAGCATTGATTAAAGATAAGTATAAATTTTTAAAAGTATATTTTTATTGCTTTCAGAGAGGAAGGGAGAGGAGAGATAGAAACATCAATGATAAGAGAGAATCCTTGATCGGCTGCCTCCTGCATGCCCCTTATGGGGATCGAGCCCACAGCCCAGGCATGTGATCTGATCTGTAATGGAACCAGTGGCCTCCTGGTTCATGGGCCTGACGCCCAACCACTGAGCCACACTGGCTGGGCAAGTATCAATTTTTACCAAATTTGGGATATATTTGTACTAAAAAAATATTTTGTTGTTTATCTGAGTTCAGATTTCACTGGGTGTCCAGCTTTTTCTCTGAGGCTTCATCTCAGGGTTTATCTAACGGTCCTCGCCCTCCAGGCTCCCCCCTTTGGGCCATCTGTGACCGACAGCTGCCGTCTCATGGCCTGGCAAGGACTTCTGAGCACTGGCCTTCACCCTGGGGTCACTCCCTAGAGGGCGAGGCTCGGAGAAGGGGGCAAGGCTCCGGTGGGGCCAGAACCCTGGTCTCCTGGCTCCTAGGAGGCCAGGAACAAGACGCATGTTTTCACTCCCGTACAAATTTAACTTTATAACCCACAGTCCAGGAGCACACGGGCCCGTCCCGTTGTGGCCGGGCTGCAGCCGTGCCAGGGCCTGCGGGTGGCTCCTCAGGGAGGAGGGGGACCCAGGGTGTGGCCCGAAGCCCACCACCCACCGAGGCCCACTCTCTCTCGCTTCGCCCTCTGAAGGCTGGTCTGGCTTTGTGCTTTGAAGATTTCCCTTTGAAAGGCCTTTCTGTCCTTTCTCAGGAGGCGCCAGCTTCGGGGAGGTTTATGTAACCTCCGTGTCCTCGTCTCCTCTGCAGGAACAGATGGGGACCAAAGGCCGCCTCCTTCTGCTGAGCAGCCCCTCTGGGGGGGGGCAGGGGGGACTGCACGGGCGGCCTGACAGGCCATGTCCCCGGGTTGGGCTGCCCTCCCCGAGCCCCGAGGCCCCCAGTGACTCTCTCTCTTCTCCACAGCTGCCCATGATGGGAGGAGCCTTCATGGACTCGCCCAACGAGGACTTCAGCACCGAGTACTCCCTCTTCAACTCCTCCACCAACATCCACGCGGCCTCCGGAGGCCAGGGCCCGCCCGAGGAGCCCGCGCGCTCCTCCAACGACGCCGTCCTGCTGTGGATCGCCATCATAGCGACGCTGGGCAACATCGTGGTGGTGGGGGTGGTGTACGCCTTCACCTTCTGAGCGGCACCCCGCGCGGCTCACTGCGGCGAGGCTGGGGCGGAGCACCCACGTTCCAGAACCAGGAGTTCCCCCCAGGGCAGGGCCCCTCCAGGGGCAGCGACCGAGCGTCTGGAACTGCCCCCCGCGGCCCTCGTTTCAAATAGCCCCGCTGTGGTCAAGCCGATCCAGAAGCCCCCGGGGACACGATGGGGCAAGGCCGCCGAGGAGCAGGTGGGGGACGTCTTGTAACTGCTTCCCAAGAACAAGAGACTCCAGGGGACCGCCCGTTAGGCTCCCAACGCAGACATAGTGGGGCGATTGCTCCCCGGCAGCAAAAAACCGCCTAATTGTCTTGTTTCCATGCCGACTGGGGTGGGGTGCCGGGCAAGAGCCCCCTCAGGGCCTGAGTGTCCCCACCCCCATCTCAGCCCCCGGGGATGTGGGTGGGGCCACGTGAAGGGCCTTGGAACATTCCTCCTGTGACTTGCAGTTGACCCCTCCGTCACCAGACACCCGGCCCCTGAGGAGACCCCAAAGCGGCAGGAACCCCAAGGATGGGGGGTCGCTGGTGACACGTGGAGTCCAGGTGGTGGTTTCCGCCTGCTGGTGGGCTTCCTCTCTTTGAAAAGAGGAGAAGGCACCTTTCCAAGGGAGATCTGCCGTCGGTTCCAGGCCCCACATGAAGATGCGGGTCGTTCTCCGAGAAACCGCAGAACGTGAGGTGAACAGGGCTGTGTCCGCGCAAGCACGTGGGGGGCGGCGGGAGCCGGTGCAGTGTGCCTGGTCCCCCGGCCGGTCCTGGAGGGGACAGGTCCGAGTGACGTGTCCTGACTCAGCTCAGGGCTCTCGCTGAGCCCTGCCTCCAGCTGGCTCCTGCCTTCTCAGCCGCCCTCCGCAACAGTATCCAGGGGGCCGTGCCAGGTGGGCAGGGCGTTCAGACACCCGCGCTGTCAGGTTGGTTCGCCTGTGTGTGCTCTGCTGCCGGGGAGGGTCCTCTGCCCACGTCGGTTCCCTGCATCCTTAGACGTCAGTGGCGCCCTAGCCGGTGTGGCTCAGGGGATACAGCCACTCACCTCTGGGAGGTGAGCATGGAGCTGCCGCGGCAACAAGATGACCAGCCCGACCTCCAGACGGCGCCGGCCCATGACCGCCAGCCCTTATTGGTTCCATCCGTCACTGCGGCCACACGGCTACCCTCAATGCTTAGCTCCGCGGAGGTCAGGGGTGCGGAGAGCTGGTGTGACATTGGAGAGGGATGTCTGGAGCCACTGACAGGGCCCTGTTCTCTGTAACACCAGAGGGGCCTGGAGCCCCGAGCCTGGAGCCTGGGCTGGCTGTCAGCCACAGTGTGCCCGCTGTCAAGCCCCAGGGCTGCCCATGAGGAAGGCCTTTCTTAGACGGAGGGCCCGAGGCGGGGGTCCCACCTGGGATGGGGAGACCAGGTGGTGCCACCTTCAGTGGCTGGTGGCACATCCAGGGCACACTTACACCAGCCCTGAGTGTGCAGAGGTCGTTTCCCAAGGTGTGGCCTGGACCGGCTCTAGCTGCCACAGGCAGAAGTTTCCGGCTCCTGGGAATGGGGCACGCGCATGCCCCTGCCCGGGGCCCTCTCTCTGCCAGGCTGCACGGGGAGATCGGGAGCCTGCCCCCCCTTTAGAGCTGAGCACAGCCTCTTTGTGTGGCCAGAGTCCGGCTTTCCCAGGATGCATGCAGAGGGGAGCCCCGAGGGCCCCCAAGGGTGAGACTCAAGCAGCCGGAATCGTGTGAAGGGTGCGGGACGGTCTGGGTGGCGTGCTGGGTCCGGCCAGGCTTCAGGCCTCCTGCTGCCCCCCGGGCCCCCCGAGCAGGGGGCAGGTGCTCTCTCAGACCCCAGCCTGCGGCTCCCTTTTGGGCTTCTGGGTGAGGGGCCAGAGCCCCCCTGGACTCCAGGAGCCAGTGCTGAGAAGGAGGGGCCGGCCTCTGCAGCGGCTGCTCCTTGGAGAAAGGGCCCTGCGTTTTCTGGAATGTTCTCTGCACACTTTAACCCCGCGTCCCTTTTGCGAGCTTTAGGTGTCCCACACGGGCGACGTTTGTGTGAAGGGCACCCCGGTGAGCGAGCAGCGCCTGCTGTGCGAGGCCGTGAGTCCGGTCGGAGGACACATTAGCCTGGCGTGTCCTAAGGGGACGCCACCCCTGTGGGGGCCTGGGCACGGTGACCGCTCTGCCGGCTCCTGCTCTGTCACGCTGCCCCTCCCCCTTTCCATGAGGTCAAGGTCAAGAGGCAAATGAGACCCCTGACCCTCCCCACCCCCTTTGGCATCAGCACTGTCGGGATCCGAGGGAGGGCCAATGTGCCCCTCGGCTGGAGCGGCGACAGGCCACGTGCCGCCCGTTCTAAATGGACGGCCTGGGCACCCGCCAGCGCCAGCGTAGGTTGCCTCCCTCCCGATGCCTCCTGGCTCCTGCCTGGCCATGGTTCTCCACCGGCAGGCCCCCCCCCGCCCCCCCGCCAGTGTTTTTAGCCCCCCTCCCCGCCGTCGTCCACATCTCCCTGTGCTGCGTGCCGCGTGCAGCTCGTCCACTCCTCCAGCCTCGCCCGGGGCAGGCGTGCGGTGCGGAGAAAGGCCTGGTCATCGTGACTGTCCACTTTGCTGCGAAGCTGAGGCTGGCCTCTGTGCCCTGAACCCTCAGCTCAGGATGCGCTTGCCCCCCCTCTGCGGGCGGTACAGGCTGGGGGCCCTGGCGTCGCCCTGCATCCACACCCTCCTGAGTGAGCCCCCGGAATGGCCTATCCCAGGCCGGCCTCCGGCTGGGCCGCATCACCCCCGAGGAGGGACCTCGTGTCCACCCCGGGGAGGCGGTTCGGTGGGCATGTTGGCCAGTCCCCAGCCGGGAGGCCTCCGAGCACCTGCGGGCACCTGTAATTCCGGGAACGGCAGCTGGGGCCACGCAGTAGGTTAGTGGGGAGCTGTCAGGCCGGACACCTGGCCAGGCACCCCCTCCCGCATGCTGGGTGACCCTGGGTTACCAGCCCAGCCCTGGGACCGGCATCCTGTTCTCTGCCACCTTCAGCTGCCCCTTCGCCAAGTCCTGGCAAAGGCCCTTTGTCCCCAGAGCAGGTGGGCTGGGCTGACAGGACAGGACGGCCAAGGAGCAGCGCTCAGGCCAAACGGAGCAGCCAGAGCCAGGTGGCCCAGCTCTCACCCCGCTCGATCCAGGGCCCCTGCCCCAGTGGTGCAGCGAGAGGGACAGATGGAGGAGGGGATGGGTCAGCGGGGCCCCAGAGCCTAGGGACGGGGTCGCTCATCTCCAAGCAGAAAAGGAGCCGGGGAGCAGGGTAAGCAAGGCCAGGGGGTCCCCGTGAAGCGCTCCCGAGGTTCCACCTTCTGCACGTCCTTTCCCTTCGGGAGGAGGGCCCGGGAGGGTGGGGTGCAGGGGACCCCCTCCTCCTGACCCGAGAGACCGAGGAGAGGACGGATTGCCCCGCGTGAGGAAACCTGGCTCCCAGGAGCGAGGTGGCTGGAGGAGGGGATGGGTCAGCGGGGCCCCAGAGCCTAGGGACGGGGTCGCTCATCTCCAAGCAGAAAAGGAGCCGGGGAGCAGGGTAAGCAAGGCCAGGGGGTCCCCGTGAAGCGCTCCCGAGGTTCCACCTTCTGCACGTCCTGTCCTTTCCCTTCGGGAGGAGGGCCCGGGAGGGTGGGGTGCAGGGGACCCCCTCCTCCTGACCCGAGAGACCGAGGAGAGGACGGATTGCCCCGCGTGAGGAAACCTGGCTCCCAGGAGCGAGGTGGCGTGGCCGGGGGTACGCACAGCCCACCACATGCGTTTTGGACGGTGAGTTTGCGTTGTTTGTTCCGATTCCCTGTAACGTTAGCATTTTTGTCAGGAAACCTAATAAAGGCAGAGGGAGCCCTGGGACAGCGGTGCAGGCGAGGAGGCGGGTCTGCTGGGGTCCAGTGGGCAGGCGCCGGCGACACAGCTGACCAGTCCCACGACGGAATTCTCTGGCCCCCCAACGCCCCTGGTGCCAGGGCTGGGAAACCCGCAGGAGACCCTCCTGTCTGATCCCCAAACTGGTATTTCCCTAAGGTCCCCTCTCGCCCTCTGAGTGTGAGCTCTTCATTGTAAAGCAGCTGCCAGGGCCGCTGCCTCCAGTTCAGACGGTCACAGCCTGGGGGGAGGAAACCCCGCGGTAGGGGGGGGGCTGAGGCCGTCCTGCGCCCCCACCTATCAGCGACCCCGAGGGACCTGGCCTCCGCCAAGGCCTCTGGACGCAGGGCGGATGGGAGAGCCTCGAAGGGGTGGAATGGGGTGCCTGGCCGCCTCTGGGCAAACCCACGTCTCTCTGGTTTCTGACCCTCTGCCCGCGCCCCGCCCTCCTTCCCCAATCACAGGCTTACCACCTTGTCTCTGCCCCCTGGCTTTACAGAAAACGTGTTCTTGTAACTAGCCGCCCTCCAGTACCAGTTCCTCCCCAGAACCGGAAACGTTGCTGTGTGTTGTTAATGTTTTCATAATCAGCTTGTAAATGTAAGCCGCCTCCTGAATAAAGAGGATTTTAACTATTACTCTCACGGCCCTTTGCTCCCCAGTCCCTGCGTCAGAGGAGCTCGCCAGCGTTCCCTGCGGCGAAGAGGCTCTTTCTCGCGCAGGGTTCCCACGTGCTCTTTGGATTCGGAAGGTCTGGCCGCCTGGGTGTGAGGCCGGGGCTGGGGCTCCCTGTCCCCCGGCTGCCGGCGCCGGTCCTGTCCGGTGGTTGTCTGTGTGATCATTAATGGAAGGGACGTGTGTGAGTGCGCCCTGTGCTTTACCCCAGGAGGCGCCCGCCTGCCCTTCTCTACAGACTCAGCCCTCCTCTGTCCCACCCCCGGGCGGTCCCCTGCACCCCTGAGCCTTCCCATCAGCCTGGAGTAAATCCCAGGAGCGCTACTCACCTGCCCATCTCCCGATCCCCCCTCCCTTCTGAGTCATCTGAGAGCCAGGCCCTGTGCCCAGCCCCGCGCCTGGCTCACAGCAAACACCGAGTGGGCATTCAGGGAATGAATGAATGAATGAATGAATGAATGGCAGCTGTAAGACCCGCCCAGTACCTGTCCACCCAGGCCGGGACAGTGAGTGTGCAGCCCTCATGGGTGGTCGGTGCCCTCCCGCGCTCATCACACACACAGTGACCCCCTTGCTCACAGCGCTGTGTCAGGCAGGCGTGCTGTTAGCCGCACGTACAGATGAGGAAACCGAGGCACGGAGAGGGTTCCCACCAAGACCATGTCGCTGGGGAGTGGCAAGACCAGGACTGGAGTCCAGGATTGACTCTGTGTCCACACTACGGTGGCTGTAAATGCCCCCTCAGCCTTTGTGGGGCATGGACTGTCGGGGGCCGTGCCAGGAGCCGGACGCTGGGCCAGTGAGCAGCCCCCACCCCGGAACACATTGTGGAGAGGGGCACGAATAATGTCATCGTCAGGTGTTCCATGCGCAACAGATAGGGACGCACGTAGTGGGTTCTGCCCCAGGGTCCCTTCCGAAGAATCCACACCAGGCCCCAAAGGAGGTCGGCCATGGAGCCAGGACCCACTGGAGCAGGAGCGAGGGGGCCAAGGGTCGCCTGATCAGGGGCATAGGCAGGAGCAGCTAATGGAGCTTGGACCCAAAGCTCTGGGTCCCAGCTCAGACTGGGCATCCTAAATGGGAGGAGGGGCCGCCTCTGGGGCAGGGCAGGAGGGGTGTGCCAGTCCCGAGATTCGTGGGCCAAGGGTCAAGGGTGTGATGACCAAGGAGCCTTGGGCTGCAGATGTGCCCCCACCCCCCAGCCTTGGACTGGCAGGGGGAAGGGGGCAGGAAGCCAGGCTGGCACCTGGAGGCCAAGGCAGTGATTAGAACAGCCTGAAGGGTCCCGAAGGCCCGTGTGGGGAGCCGTGGTGCGATGGGCTGCCAGCAGATATGCCCGTGCACTGTGCCTGGAGCAGGGAGGCAGCAGGCAGCTGAGCAGTGACTCCCGATTTTGCCTCTCAAACCTTCTGGGCACCTGTCCCTCCCTCTCCACACCCCCCACCCCATCCCTCCTTACCCCTGCTTGAGCTCACAGCCCCAGGTCCCTCTGCCCAGCACACAGCTCTCGGAGAAGCAGCGGTACCCACAGTCCATCTTCTGAAGACGGAGGCGCATCGTTTTGAAAGAACGAAGAGGGAAGATTTTTCCGGAGAATAAGGCGGCAGCCACAGTCCAGTGCTGCCGTGTTTACATTTTCAGAGGCGACAGCGAGGCCGGTCCATACCAATCGCCCCTGGTCCCCCGGCACCCTCCCTGCTGGCATTCATAGTAAACCTGTGGCTTTACAGAGGCTTGGGGTCACTCTATCTGCTCCTGCCAGTGAGTTAATGGTGTGAGGTGGGGTTCCCGAGGCAGACTGTAGGCATGCAACACTGGACCCATAAATTTCTAAATAACCTGTCAGACAACCGGCTCTTCCCTCTGGACCAGGAGCCGCTTGAGGGGGTGGGGCAGATGTGCTCCCCTCTCCTGGACAAGCCTGCCTGTCCCACAAGGGGGCACAGACCCCACGATGCCCAGCCCAGGCATGGCACAGCCTCATCCTTCACACAGTGGGTGAATCTATAGACAGGAGGAGCTGGGATGGCACATGCAGCCAGGCCTGGCAGAATGCCACTCCCCATCACCTCTGGGAGCCGCCAGAGCCTGGAGGGGCTCAGGAAGAGCAGGGGAGGGGCAGTTCCTGGGACAGTGACAGCCCCCAGCGATCTGGAGCCCAGCCCGAGGGGAATTTTCCATTGGGCCTCATCAGATTCCAACTACTCCGGCTCCCTGCAGGAGCAGAGATGGCCTGGTGATTAATATTTATAGAAGCCCGGCTGCGGGGCCTTTTCTGCAAACCACACAAATAACATTAACTACCACAGTAACGGCGGCCAGCACCGGCGGGGGTGCTGCGCTCCGGGCTTGCAAAGCCCTTCCCAACCCAGCTTTGATCCTCTGGACAGCGGCTCTCCCAGCAACACCTGCCCCCCTACCACCACCTGTCTGGGCGGGGCGCTGGGACGCTCAGGGAACCAGGCAGGGCCCCTACTCATTGTCTTGGAGGCCGGCCGTGTACAGGTCAGCTGGAGACAATGTGGTGTGAGTGTGGACGGTGGGAACCTGAGGAAGGCCTCCCTAGCGGGCAGGCAGCCCAGGCCAGGGGCCACGTCTCCAGCTTTTAGAAAAGAAAACTGAAGTGCAAGTACTCTCCTCTTCCATAATTACGGATTGAGCGCCGACTGCGTGCCGGGCGCGATTCTGGGGTACATTCGTGAGCAAAAGTAAGTGCATCCACCACCTTCTGATGATAAACACAGACAAGAGGCAAATAAAGAAATAATTAAATAATGCCATATTTATGACATAATAAGAAATAGAGTGTCTATTACAGCACGGCATTGCATACCTAAAATTTGCTCAGAGAGTAGATCTTATATGTTCAGTGTTCTTTCAACAAAAGAATAAGCAAAACACAAAGGGGCCCATGGATTCAGAGAACAGACTGTCTAGAAGCCCGTTCACAACCCCGCCTGGTCCAGAACGCATCGTGCATTTCATTCATGCCTAAAAATTGCCCCCAGAGGACACCCTCTCACCCGACCTAGAAACACGGGCCGCAGCCAGCAGGGGGCAGTGTGGCGTTAGAAACGTGGACAGGCCAAGCACCTACTGGGCTGGGCTGGGTGCAGGCCTTCGCGCAGCTCTCTGGGTGAGCAGTGCCGGCCACGGGAGGCACCAGCACACGCTCTGGAAGGCGCCCTTCAATGGCGGTGTTCCCACCCGGGGACGGGCCCCAAAGGGCAGAGGCGACGGATCAAAACTTCCTCGCGTGCATCCAGACGCTGCCCCACAAAGTCACAGGGGGTCCCCTCCTCTCTGTGGGCCTGGGCATGACTGCTTTGTTTCAATACAGCGCTTTATTCAAGTATGACAGACAGACAGACAGAAAATGGCCCCACCGGCCCCTGGCGCCTCTTCTTTCTCAGGCTCCCAGCAGCCCTGCCTCCGGGCCCGGGCACAGCTGCCGCGGCTCAGCCCTAAGTCAGGCAGCTCCATTTCCCGGTGGAATCACGGGGAGCCGGGACCCTTCGTCCCTCACCAGCAGCGCTCACTCAGCTAGGGCAGCGCGGGAATGCATCCCTCCTTGCGGACTGACAGTGAAGAAAAGAGAAACAGGAAGACGGCTTCACTTCATCTCCGCGGACAGGCGCCCAGCAGTCCCGGGATCGCGGCTGCAGAGGGCGGGCCGCGCCCCTTGACCATCCTGGTAAACAGCAATTTCCGACCTCTTTGGAGAGTAGACACATTGCGGCTGCGCAGTTCTCTATGCCGCAGCCTCCCGCCAGCAGGGGTCGCACCCCCCACTCGCAGCGCTGTGCTCTCTGCACGAAAGTCCCGCCTCTCCAGGAAGTCCCGCCCTTTCCGGAAGTTAGCGGGTGCGACTGTAGACCGCAGCGTCCGGACGCTCAGGACTGTTTGTCCTGAGTGGCTGCTGGCATCGCGGGGCAGGGCGAGGCTCGAAGCGGACGTGGGTATGGGGGCGGCTGAGTCCGCGGGGAGGAGCCCGCGCAGGCGGCCTCGGAGGGCAGCCACGCGGGGATAAGTGCTCACTCCGGGGAGTCACTCAACTTCTGCGGGAAAGATGGCGAGTGGGGGCCACGGGGCCCAGGACGAGGAAGACGCCCCCTCATCGGGGTTTGTGTCTGAGGAAGATGCCCCCGCATCGGGTTTGTGTCTGAGGAAGACACCCCCTCACCGGCCAGGCGGCCGCCCTGCAGAGGGCGCTGGACCGGCGCCGCCCCTGCCCTGTGTGGCCCCGGCTCTGGGCACCGCTCCAGTGCTTCCCGAGCCCAAGGCCTGCAGTGTCGGACCCGGATCCTCCTCAGCCACAGGGTTCGGCTCAGACTGAAAGTCCCGACGGGGAGTGAGAGCCACGGACCCCGACCTCCCGCAGCCGGTCCGGCGTCTACGGGTCGTGGCCCAGGGGGTCACTGTGCACTTGGCGCTGCAGCCTTCCCCGTGGCAGGACAGAAACCGGCCATGACGCGCTCAGGGACGGCCTTCAGCTCCAGGCCTGTGGCGACAGGGGCGTCCTCGTGGGGCCCAGAGTGTGTCCCGAGCCCGTGGGCCGCCCCCGAGCTGCTCTCGGTCCTGGATTCATCAGACAGCAGGACTGCAGACCTGTGTGCACGTCCCGTCGGAGTCACTGCAGGTGCTCGGGTAACTCCAGCCACATGAATGCTATTGCTCCTTTTAAAGGCTTTACTAAGCTCTATTTTATTTATTTTCATTTTTTATTTATTTTGCATTTTTTTCTTTTTTCAAGAAAAACGATTTAAAATATAATAATGTTACATGCAGTAAACAATATTTCAAGAAAAATTTTTTAAAATATAACTAGAGGCCTGGTGCCCAGATTTGTGCACCAGTGGGGTCCCTGGGCCTGGCCTGCACCCTGTCACCATCTGGGACCCCTCAGGGCATATCCGAGCCCCACAGGCCAGGTGAGGGACCCCACAGGGCCTCTAGTA